AGAATTGGAACAGTTTTTTGAAATCATGTGCTTTAGAAGAAAAAAAACAAAAACGCTTAATTAGCTTTGTATCTTTTTATTTGCAAATCGCAAGTTAAATATATTCATAAAAAAAAACGATTTTGAATGTTTATTTCAGATTATTTATCATTAATATTCAAGTAAAAAATGGTATGTTTTGTTTAAATCCTTAGTATCGATAGTCTTTTTCGTACGGTTAATTAAGTAGATGTTTGTATATACTTGTATTCATTTTGCAACTAATTAAACAGATCTATTAACTGATTGAATAACGAAAAGGTCTTACGTGGACTATGAGAATGAGTTCATTCATAACTACTGTCCATTTCAAAAAAAAAGGCGGGTTAGTATTTTCTGCGTTTTTTTTTATAGGAACAAGATAGAGAGCTGTGGTTTTCACTGTTGGAAAGAGGCTTGTTCGGTGCATCGATTCGTATAAAACTGTTGAAATTTATCTCTTGATCAAGTCCCCCTCAGCCTTTATTTCTTAAGATTTCCCTGTGGTCCCCTACAGGTCAAATTTCGATGAAAAATATTTTAGAATAAAAAGTAGTGTTTTTGGTGTAGTTTTTCACGCTGATTTCGAATATGATGTTTATTTTGCATAAAAAATAACTTAAGACGATCAAAACCTCAAAATACTACCATTTTAAGTATTTTTCGATATTTTCTATGGAGAAAAGTAGTATATATCTTTCAGGAAAATGCTGATAATTTTTGAACCATAAAAGATAGAAACCTGCGGTTTGCGCAGATTTGTAGATCTTCACCTGGCGGTTCTAACCCACCCATCAATCATCCAAGTTCACTCTACCTTCATAGAACAATATCCTACTCTTTCAAAACGACCACGGATCACTACTTAATCAAGAGATAAATTTCAACAGTTTTATACGAATCGATGCACCGAACAAGCCTCTTTCCAACAGTGAAAACCGCAGCTCTCTATCTTGTTTCTATAAAAAAAAATGCAGAAAATACTGACCCGCCTTTTTTTTTGAAATGGACAGTAGTTTGTTTATCTTCTTTAAGAATCTATCATCTTGAGGGTATGTGTGAGTGTCTCTTCCTTCATCAAACATCTGCACCAACACCCATATCCGGTGATAATACAATTTAATTGCTTGAGTATGTTCCTTAAATATAGACAGCTTAACATAAGATTTCGAATTATGTTTTATCGAGTTTAAATAACAAGTAACGCTCGTTTGAGAACTCGCTTAGCTCTTATGTTAGAAATGCATTTTCTTCATATTTACTGGAAAAACAAATGAAAATCGTGAAAATTTGATTTTCGATGTTTTTTTGAGCCTGCGGACACACTAACAGACAATTTATGTTTACTGGACTCTTCTCTACGAGGAAGAGAATATTGTCAGCAGAAATGAATTCATGATAAATTTTAGGGATATTGTCACCGAGATTTTCTTTCTATTAATCTCACAGCGTTATCGTCGATAGATGGATAACTCACCAATAAAGCATTAAATTTGTACTATATTTTCTTCAATAGTTAGATCAAATGTATGTAATGTGACAGTCGCTGATACTGACATTTTATTATTACAGATTTCGCTATACTTCATATAATGCTAAGATTGTATCTGATGACAAAAAATTATGACGAAATTTATTAATATTTTCAGTTTCGATATCTAATCAGAACATAATTGATTTTAATTTAGATACAATTTATTCTTCTCTTCAGCCGACAAGGTAAACTCCGTCTTCAAAAATGGTATACATCACAAACAGATAAATCAAAGAAGAAAATAACGCGTGAAATTATTGCAGCTGTACTTTCACGCAAACCAAAAATGTCTAGTTTTCTCGAATGGAAAGATCTTAAAGTAGTTTATAAACGGTATATTACTGATTTTATTTTATTAATAAAAATTTCTTTTGTTTTTAAGTTATGCTAGTTTGTATTTTTGTTGTGCAATTGAACAAGATGATAATGAATTATTAACACTTGAAACAATTCATCGTTATGTTGAATTACTTGATAAATATTTTGGAAGTGTAAGTCACTATTTATTAGTAAATTATTTATTTTCAATAATTATAGGTTTGTGAACTTGATATAATATTTAATTTTGAAAAAGCCTATTTTATCTTCGATGAATTTATTCTGGGTGGTGAAGTACAAGAAACAAGTAAAAAAAGTGTTTTAAAGGCTGTTAATGATCAAGATGTTATTCAAGAGGTAGGTTCTCTATATTTTGTTTTTTTGAATTAATTTTAAAGGAAAGCTATTCACACACATGCATATCTGTATAATTTGGGAACTAATGCTATTTATAGGATGATCAATTCCAAGAAATACTTTATGAATCTGGACTTGTTTAACATTGATTTCTTTTTTCGAAAAAAAAAAACGAATATTCTCCTTCTCCTTCTTCTTCTTTCTTATAATTAAATAAATTTATGCTTTGAAGCTTTGATTATATATATATTTCTAGGTAGAAACGCCACAGGGTCTCTTCAATGATTATGGTCTTGGATAATAAAAAATTCTAAATAATGCTTTCGCATGTTTTCTTTACTTTTCCTAGTGATCTCGTCAGATTAAGCGTTTCTTCTGAATTATAAACGATAAATCTATGCATTTTATGCATGAAAATAGTTTTAAGTATGCTTGTGTGAATAAGCATTTTCGACATTGTAGCATGTACTTCTGTTTTTTGTTACATATTTTTATACTTATTTTATCTTTATATTTTAGGAAGAATTAGAAGAAAAACGAAGTGTATTAGAAGATCTTGGTTTGGCTTAAATAACCAACAATACTATTCATCTATATGTGAATTTCAATTAGTTGATCTCATAGACTTCCGCTATATATTTCGATTATTCTTGTTTTAATTATGTGACTATTTAAAGAAGAAAATTTTTAATTAATAAAATTACTCCAGTTATTTATTGTATTACTATTGTAATAGTTGAATTTATTTTATGTAAATCAAAATAAATTTATATTATGAAAATTTCTCATAAAACATATTTTGCGATGTCTAGCTTTGAGACATACATGGAGAGTTTTTATGCCCACATTCAATTAGTTTAGTTCTAGTTATAATAAATATATTACAGATACAAAACTTTATATGAAGGCTACATAATTTTCTTACCTATTGAGAAAGTGTATATCGCTTTTAAACTAAAACTTGATATTTATGAAAATTTTATTTAGTATTTATTTTCTCGATTAAAATAAAACGACAAAAGATTTAATCACGCCTGCAACAAAAACAATAAACACACGTAGCTATTATAATAAACGGAATTACTCCGATAACAATAAGCCCAAGTGATAGTTTATGTATGGAAGCATCACAATAATTATCAGCAGTTGAATTGTTCGATTGATATTGAGTACCTTTTTTGAGTATCCATGAAGCACCCTAGTTTAAATAATGTATTACATGATTTATCGATCTAGTGTAAATATGAAACTTACTACAACTGACCAAATAATCAACAAAAATAAAATAATACCAATTATACTAACGATGAATCTGGTCATAGCTAATTTCGATGTATTAATACACATATATCTTATAATCATCTACAACTATTAATAATTAGTTCTCAAAGTTTAAATATTTTTCTATATCTTACCATTGTATTAACAAATAAGCATCCAGTTATTCCTACTACACCAAAGACAATTAGCCATATTGGCATTCTTGAATCAAATGGACATTCAAATCTTCTTACTCCACCGACAATAATGGTAGCCAAAGGAAGACTAGAAAGTACGATGACAGAAACAATAAAACCAACATTCCAACATAGTGATCTGAATTGTTCACTCATTGAAGTTATAAACCGAGTAAAGCGTGGGGACTGATTTGCATTCGACTTATTAGGAGCTTGGTTATATTCCACATTTGTTTGTACTTCCAAATCCTGAACGTGTACCTAAGATAAAAATATTATCGATCTCTCACTGAACTTACAATTACCTGTGCAACTCGCATGATTGAAAGTTTTACAATAAACTTGCATACTCGAGAGAAAAGAAAGATTGACGTATTCGTCACTTCCATTTTTTCAGACTTTTTCCAACTTAACGTTAATGTAAACAATATTTTACAAAAGAAAGATTGACGCACTCTTCAGTTCCTTTTTTTCAGACATTCTCCATCTTGACATTAATGTAAACGATATTTAACAAAGGAAAAAGCAAATTCATTGTAACTATATCGAAATAAACGTTCTCTTGCCTTTTACTCTGTGGTTAAAATAAGCAGCAGTCGCATACATCAATATTATACTTATTGACATGGATGAAAATGAATTGATTTCTTTATTTACTAAAGCAGATTTAACTAGTGTGTTTCATCAGTATTGTCTTGATGGGAACTATAATGAAGTTCAAGCTATGATATCGAAATTAACTTACGAAGAATTAAATCAAATTGAACCTAATGGATATACTGCTTTACATGCAGCCGTACTTTGTAATCATTTGGATATCGTGAAACTATTACTCAATCATGGATGTTCTCAAACAATACTGAATCGATATGGAAGAACTGCTTATCAAGACGCTCACACAGATGAAATGCGTATTTTATTTGTTCGCCCACGTTCACAAAGATTTTTTGATAATAATACTACAGAATCATTTAAATTATTTATTGCTAATGGAAATAATATTGATATGAAAAAAGATATACCAGATAGTTGGTTTAAAGGTTATGTACGAGCTGAAGATACACGTGAATCTCAATTTATCTTAGCTCTTGGTCAAGCACCATTTTTAATAAGAAAAATCTATCAAAATCGAATTGAATTCATTAATATGCAGTCTCTATATAGTCTAATTATTGCAAATGTTTCAAGAACACATAAAGAATATGTAGAAGTCAATAATTTATACCAGACATTTGCAAAAAAAAGAAATATTGATCATCTATTAAAATTATACACACTTGAAACAGATATATATAGCGCATTGCAAACTCAACCTGACTCATTTACTATTCTAGTTTATTTATATTTAACGGAATTAAAAGAACGTGCATATCGGGGTCATACTTATCGTGGTGCAAAAATGAATCAGCCAGATATTGCAGCATATCGATGGGCACTGTCTAATCAAAATTATATTCTTGAAACACGTTCTATTCAATCGATGTCCAAGGATGAATCAGTGGCTCAAGAGTTTGCTGAATTACAACCAGGTGATAAACGTTATTCTGTCATATTTGTTTATGACTTTCCTGAACGTTGTAAGACGGCTATTGATTTAACGAAAATTTCAAATGATCTACCGTTACTCTCACATTATGAAAAAGAACAAGAAGTTACTTTACTACCATTTACATTGTTCACTGTGTGTAATATAGAAACTGCTTCAACAACTAGTCAATATCGTATAACACTCAGAAATGTTCCTGTACCTAAACAATCTGCTCTAATGGCATTCAAAAATCTTCGTCATTAACAGATACGAATTATTTTTAACAGTTTATATTTTATATTTCAGCATTCTTTCTCTACTTGATTCAATAATAAAATGTGTGTAAGAATAATAATCAATCATATCAATATATCTTTCTACTTTTACATCCTCATTTTTTATACATCTCACCATAAAAATAAGATGAACAGTGATTAAATAGAAAAAATACTTGGGAGAAAATTATCAAAAGACAATGTATGTACTTTATTACACAGTCGAGGGTGTGGGTGTCTTTCTTTATTGAACATTTACACCCAAACCCACGCCATTTTTATTTTCGACGTTATTAGGGTTAACCTTTAAAATGTGTACGAACCTCATATTTCTCAGATACTCTCGTTGGTTCTTTTCGTTTTTATTGTTTTGTACAAAGAAATATAGTTCTCAATATAACACATCTTCAAACTTCATCTCTTTTAGCAGAGAAAAATTAATCTATCAATAACTTATACTGGCAGACTCCTGCCATGAAACATTGTCTCATATTGAGTCAACCAAGACGTACGAGCGAACAGAAAGTATTTTTACATACGCTCGGTTCGTTTTTCTTCTTTCTATATAAGAACGGTGTGTTTCATCGTGCACAACTATTTTGATAAACAAGACATCACCACAATGACAGAACAAAAACGTGTAATTTTAGTGACTGGAGCAAATAAAGGTATTGGTTTTGAAGTTGTGAAGAAATTACTTCAGCAATCTTCTTCAAAAGCCACTGACATTATTCTTCTTGGTAGTCGAGATATCAAACGTGGTCAAGATGCAATTCAACAATTAGGTTCTCCGACAAATGTACATTTGTTACAATTGGATACATCATCAAAAGAAAGTATTATAGCTACTACCAAAGAAATCAAAGAGAAATATAATGGTCATTTAGATATATTAATTAATAATGCTGCAATTGCACCACGAGAGAATACAATTGAAGCAACACGAACAGCGTTTGCGACTAATTATTATGGTATTGAAATGCTTAATGAATATTTGATCCCTCTATTACGTGAGAATGGTCGTATAGCTAATGTTGCTAGTGGTGTTGGTCCAATAGTATCATATCTTTTTTCAAAAGAACTTCAACAAAAATATACATCACCAACATTAACAACACAAGAACTTGATAATATTGTTGAAGATTTTCTTTCAGCATTCGAATCTCATAATCTGGAACGTATTGGATATTCTTCTGAAATACCTTTTCCAGCATACACTATTTCCAAAGCTGCATTGATTGCTCTTACTCGAGTTCAAGCACGTGAATATTGTAGTAACAAAAATATATCTATTTATTCTGTATGTCCTGGTTTTTGTGCCACCGATCTTAATGATCATGCTGCTGGCAGTCGATCAGCAGCAATCGGTGCTGATTCTATATTGTATGTGATTGATACACCAACAAATGAGTTAGAAAATGGTGTATTCTATCAAGATGGTAAAAAACTACCAGAAATCTGTGACGATGAAGCTAAAGTAAAAGCATTTGTCGAACACTCCAAGACATTACTCAAATCAAAACAGTAATATTAAAGAGGGTGGGTGTAGATGTTTAATACAGGCAGAGACACCCACACCCTCATATTAATATGATAATGATCAAGAAAAAATATATTATTCAAAATTCAATAATTCTATTTCTTTTTTTTATCTTTTCTCTCTTCATTTTTATTTTTATCAGTAATATAAATAATAATACAACGAAGAAAAGCTTTCGTTCGATGTATAATTGTCAATAATAACGTATATATGTATACCTAATAAAAATGAGAAGAAAATAAATCAGTAAAAAAGAATTCTTTTTATCGATTGATATCTATTGAATAAGTGAGTTCTATCTGAAAGTTATCAGAATAAATATTAATTGTATTTTATCTTCATTTTATATTTGGAAAAAATGGGCAAAGATAATATTATCTTGGTATTTCATATACACTGAATAAAAAAGATAATGTTTCATATATAAATATTAAAGGTCTACTGCAGAAAGTATTATTTGTCTTTTTTTGACCCATATAACTACGTTAAACAAGTATTAAATAGGTCAAACAACAAAGAATTCATTTCTTCATTGGAGTTCTCTTTCGTAAAACATAAGATGGATAACAAACCAACATGCAGTAAGTGGATCTCATTTGGGTTTTTTCTATATTTTTCGTTGTAAACGATTTTTCAGTTACTTTCTTCTTGATGTTATCAACACTATTCATTATTATATCCACAAATTCAGGAAATGCTCTTCCTATTAGTTTAAGATCAATATTCACAGCTAATAAATCAAGTAAGTTAAAGAATAATTACTGATTCTAAATCAAATATAAGTAATTGTTTAACATCAATAAGTTTGTGTTTTTTTGTTTTCATCTAGAATGGTCTGAAACTGGCCATTTAAATAATCCACGACTTTATCACGCGGCAAGTTTGCTATTAGATAGAAATGTGTTAGTTACTGGTGGAGAAGGTTATGACGTTTGTTCCACTGCAGAACTTTATGATCCAATATCAAGAAACTGGACAAAGTCTTACGACATGAGATATTGTCGATGGTTTCATACAGCAACTACATTAAAGAACGGGAAAGTTCTAATTGCTGGAGGAGCTGCTGGAGAACCAGAACCTTTGGGTAATGTTAAATACGTTTTAAATCAGGCTGAAATGTATGAGACATCAACAGGATATTGGTTCCATACCACTAGCATGAATATCGAACGATACTTTCATACAGCATCCATATTACAAAATGGAAATGTTTTAGTTGTAGGTGGATCCGATGATGCACCCAACAGTGCTGAAGTATATGAACCAGAGATGGAAACTTGGATAAATACTACAGATATGCATTATGGACGAAAATGGCACACTGCAACTGTGTTAAAAAATGGACAAGTATTAGTTACGGGTGGACATGATCTTCCATTTAATACGATAAACAGTGCAGAAATATATGATCCATCAACAGACACATGGAAAGTTGTTGGCAGTATGAATTACAAACGATATTTTCACACAGCAACATTATTAACAAATGGTAAAGTGTTAGTCGCTGGAGGATTAGATAATGATGATAATATGGTAAATAGTACGGAATTGTTTGATCCATCGACTGAATCCTGGACAATTACTGGTAATATGACTCAAGGACGATACCTACATACAGCATCATTGCTGAAAAGTGGAAAAGTATTAGTTTCTGGTGGAAGCAGTTTTACTAGTGACTTTTCAACTGATGCTGAACTCTATGATTTCTCAATAGGTGTGTGGACAAATACGAGTAGCATGAATTATCAACGTGCAAGCCACACAGCAACGGTGCTAGCAGATGGAAATGTGTTAGTTATTGGTGGTAATTATGACGATCACATGACAGCAATCACACCCGAACTGTATAATTCGTCGATGGATATTTACATGTCTACGAATAACATGAACTTAAAATAATAAAAAGAACATTGATTATATCAATTCAATAGACATTCGAAATAATAGTTTTTGACTTTTTATATACTAATTCGTACTCGCTCCTTTTACTTTTTAATAAAATAAAAAAATAATATAAAAACAATTTACTGCGTACTGATGTATATTTCAAAAAAAAATAATTACCCAAATCCATCCTTTCAAATCTACTTTATAACAAAAATGCTCCTTATATCATATTTCATTCCGATCATCATGAGGAAAATAGATAAAGATGATGTACATTGAATACAAACACATTGTAAATGTAAACACAAAATAATAATACGATGTCTACCGCATAAAGAATTACTTATCTTTTTTGACCCATATAATCGCGTTAAACAAGTAATTAATAGGTCAAACATTAAAGAATTCGTTTCTCCATCTCAGTTCACCTTGAGGGCGTGGATGTCGATGTTTAATAAAGGAAGAGACACCCACCCTCGTCCATTCCACTTTTCGTCACGTGGCTATATCTCGTGATGTTTACTATTTTCTAGTATGTTACCTTCCATTAATTCATCTGTCTTTTTCTTTAAATTATAGCACGTCTTGTATACAGAATAATTTAATATATGAGACGTACATTTTATTCATTCTAGTTAAAAAGTGAATCGATATGGTCGATAACGATGAATTAAAGAATCAAGTAAGGAAAATAGAAAGTAGAATTTTTAATAAATATTTATTTATAATAGGTATTTAAAAATGTATCAGAGGAAATAAAAAATGCATTTGATATGGCTAAAACGTTAAATAAAGATAAAAACAGCGATCAATCGTCTCACATGACTCGAGCTCATTTATTAGGCATGAAAGTGAATGAACTTGATGGAAAATATATTGGTCCACATAATACTTTACGTGAACCACAATTAGAAATGTTTTCAGGTAAAATATATTTTATTTATGATTTTAAATTATGATATATATTTTTAGTTGATTCATCTTTAAATTGGCAGTATTGAAAAGTATTATTCAATGATAATAAGTACTTGTCTTTTTTTTATTGTATCAAAAAGTATTTGATGCTAAATTTGTTTTTCTCGTCTGTTTCAGTACTAAACTTACAATTAAGTGTATCGAAATCCTCATTCTATGCATAAAACTAAATGAACAAAACATTCGTGATTGACATTGTCGTTTATTACGATTTGATGTGTTATAGCGTTTTCCGGGAAATCCAATTTTCCATTGG